TTCTGTACCTACTTGAGTGTCTAAGACAATGCTAATCTGACTTTGGACTCCTTTCTAACTGGTAAGAGGTGAAAAGCGAGTGCTATTGAGTAACTGGGCATTTTAGCCCATCTGTTAAATTGTCTTGACGGGCACCAAGATTGAATCAAAGACACACAGTGTTATTGGAGTGAGTTGTTATTTCTAGTAGCCTTTGGCCTTACTACAACATGTAAGGGAAGAGAAATGCAGAATCCACAGCAGTGAATAGGTAGAGATGTGCAAAGATAGGCAGCTCACCCCAAACCTGCAAGGCTTGCATCCCTAGGCTGTTGTGTCAGCCCTTCTTTCTGGGGCAGCCATCATCTTGCTGGACACAGCAGACTGAACAAAGTGAATGGGGAGCTGAAAGTGTATCTTAGCCACTTAAAATAGATAGGGAGTGTAGCAGGTTTGCTTCCTTAATAAACTGGGTATGGCAAGAGGCACATAAAATGCACAGACCAGTGAGTTATATTCACCTCAAGTGGGAAATACTTTAAAAATTGTTTTGATTCAATGGGATAAAACATCATCAGGATTTCTACTGTCTTCTCCTCGTTTGCATAATTTAGTGTAAATTGCACATTATGAAAACAGTGGAAGACATGTAGAATGAGCTCAGAGGATCACAAGGGGAAAACATTCTAGAATGTACCTCTGGGAGTAAAAAAAAAAATCTGTTTCTGTTTTGTTTTCAGTATAAACATACTTTATGTACAATTTTCTCTAATTATTTTCCTGTTTAAAAAATTAGTGATCGATTTCTGAAGATTTTACACCGTGAGCGGTGAAATGATTAATTAATATAATATTGGCTTTTAGCTGCAGTTCTGTAGTAAAAGACACAGCACAAAAGAGACATGCAATAATCAACAGTTTAATCCACAGTTTGAGAACAGAAAATGTGACAGAGGTAGGGTAAGAATGATAGGTGGTGGTTTTTTTTTTTTTTTTTTTTTTTTACAGATTTGCACAGCTTTTCAGCAGCATACTGTCCCACAGGCATTATAAACTCAGAGTAGCCAGAATCAGAATTACATTTTCATGTTTTCAGGGCAAACTCTTGGGTATTATTTACATTTATATATATTCATTTCCAAAATCTTCTGTTTTAATTTTGCAGCACATCTTTCTGTTATTTTCTTTTTTAATTGCTTTGGAGAAGTTGTATGAAAGGAAAACTATACTTGTTTCTTCTAGGTTCACAGTTTGAAGTTTTGTTATACTTTAAGCCTTTAAATTAATGAGCAGATATGCTATGGAGACTTTTGGATGTGAAAAAGTATGTTTTCTCTAATCCCATGGGAAGGGCAGTTCTGGCTCTAGACCTGGGAATGACATGTCACTCCTCTGCCTTCTGTTTCACTGAAATGGATACTTACTGTATATGCCACTAAGCCTGGTAGCCTTTTACAGAGTACAACACTGAAATCATCCCTGAACAATTTCACACTGAACTGAAATGATCCTCACAACACTACAACAGCCAAAGATTTAGAAAACGATACTGTCAGTTTTGCATAAGTGCAATTCCGTGGATTCTCCTGCAGATACTCTTGACTTAGGCTGGTGAGAGAAAAGGATGAGATTTTCTTCTTCTCTTTCGTTTGTTTAAAGAAAGCAAATATTTGGGGTCACAGTGGTGCAGTGAAAGAGAGACTATTTTGTAGAGCTACGTAGTACATGAGTCTTTCCAGAGGCAGCTATTTAAAAAGCATAATATACAGAGTTGTGTCATTCACATCTGCTTCTCATGGGCAGGTGTATGTAATCACACAAAATTATATTAAAAAAAATTCTCAATTAATTTTCTGTTGTGCACAATTCATTTGTTTTGGAGAGTGAGAACACATATTGGCTCTTTCCACTTAAATTCTCCTTAACTGAGCTTGACTCTGCCTCTCCACTCTGACTGGCTGCTCTGCCCACAGTTTCTGTCCGTTTCCATCTGATTCCAGTACACCATAAACCATATCATTTTCCTATTGGAATGAGTTCTTACTAATGCTGTCCATTACTCCATGGTATCACCCCTATCCATCTCTGGCCAATAACATCCTGCATGTCTATACCTCCTCACGAATGTCATTTTCACCTCCTTTTTTATTATTCTTATTCTTTCTCAGGCCCTTTTAAAGTGAATGTTTACTGTGAAGTACTTCATAAATTAATGTTGTCTGTAAAAAAAAAAAAAAAAAAAAAAAGTTTTGCTATTAATTATGCATATCTTGAGTTATTTAATCATCACTGAGTTTCTCATTGTTTTCCATTAGAAGGATGAGAGTATATTTTCAAATGGATTTCATCTGCATAGTTAATTAAGCTTTAATAAAACAAATAGAGAGGGAAAGCCCCTAAACATTTCCATATAAATTGTACTCAATACCTAATACATATAAAAACATGTCTTTATAGAGACAGTCTCTTGCTAGTCTCCTCTGTAGTTAGTGTGCATCAGCAGTAACTCCCATGAATTTATCAGACATTTTAAAAATAAATGTAAGGGAAAGCAGCCATGGCCAAATCCTTGGGGCAATACACCACTGCATGGCATCAGAAACAGGCCTCCAAGGAGACAGAGAAGTAGCAGCTGAGACATTACAAATGAAATGCATCCAGTTTTCTGTTACTAATTAAATACTTGTTTCCTACATAAACAAAACACCATTAGGCCACCTGAAAGCTGCCCTGATATGCCAAGCTGTGGTGACATTTTTGTGTAGACCCATGTGGTGCCTGGAGTTGGACTCGATGATCCTTATGGGTCCCTTCCAACTTGGGATATTCTATGATTCTATGGCAAGACGTCAATATTCCTGTTTTCACAGAGGTGAGGGCTGAGCATCAGCCCTGCTCTGAAGGATAACAGTGGATGCTGAGGGACCTTTGGACCTCCAGGCTGTAAGGATGCAGGTCAGTGACCTGCCACTATTTTCTAGGGTCTTCATGGGCTTTTTGGTTCTTTTTAAAATTTTTGTTAATAGATTATAAATAAATAATTATAGAAAAATCTAATGCTTCTTGCTCAGGCTAATTTCTGAAAGAACTGAACAACTAGGAAGCAATGGAATAATTTTAACCATGGGTGTGGAAGAGATAACCAAGTGTATTTACTGGAGACCACAGCAAGAAATGAACCTAGGGCTGCATTGACTCTTTACTCAAGAAATATGTTCCCTGTTTTTTTATATACTGTGTTGCACCATGAACATCAGTAAAATGAGAACAACAAATATTTTCCCATCCAACTTTAGGATGTTCTTCAGATACATTTGTCAGTCTTGGGTAGCTCTCTTCCCACTGTTAATGTAACATGGGTGTGGTGACTACTTGGCAAACAGACTGTTATGCAACCTTTAAAGCTCTTATACAGCAACGACTCAAAGGGCACATAAAAATTTCAGCTTTTCTCAAAGTCTTATGAAGTCCAGAGAGCTTAAACATTTGGACACATTGAACTGGGGAAGATTTCCTGCATTACTGAGTCTGCTCACCCTCCTATTTTGGGCAACCAGGTCATATGAACTCATGAAGTAAGTTAGCGAGCTCCTTACATATAAATATTTTGAGTTTTTGGAGCAGGGAGGAAATCATAACTATGAGTCAGTTATCTTTAGGGTAAGGGAATACACTAATATCAAGTAATGACTTCTAAATATGGTTATATATTCAGAGCACATGACTGGCAAATGTGTTTGTAGATTAGGTATAGAACTGTATGTGTATTTTGGATTTGCAAGAGTGTGACTGAACTGAAAAATATCTCTGCTGTTTTTGAGTAGGCACACTGGGTAAACTTTCATTGACCATGTTTATCTTCTACCTTCTTTATACATAGCTTATCATTCAAAAGCACAATGTTTTAAACTAAAACTCAGAAAACCAAAGCAGATGGAAAGAAAATGTTTTGTCGGTATTAATATAGTATTCAAAGCAACTATGCTGAGTAACCTTTTCCTCCACCATTTTGCATCAATGCCAAAAAGTTGTTTTCGGTTCAAAATGCTATATAATACTTTTATATTACACCTGCAAAGAGAAAGATGTAGGTAAGAATCCATTTCAGAATTCAGGGTTATAGAATCAATGAAATACCACACAAGCCATAAGCCATGCAGATGGAAAGGTGCTCTCAGGTCTGCAGTCTGCTGCAAGTTGATGCTGGAAGCAGAAGTTCCTGGTTTCTAGCAAGTGGATTACCAAGGTCAGATATCCAGCTCCTCTGGATATTTTCATGATATAATTAGATATAAGCATGTTAGAATAATGAGATTTTTCTCTGTTCTATCTTTCAGTTTCAGGGTCTCTGACCAAATTTATTACTAGCCAGGTTGAATCTGTTGCAAATTTTCCCATCAGCTTTTATTAATTAAGTGGTTTAACATTTTCCTAGCATTAGATCGTAGGTAGACATGGAGGTCCCCTTATGTTGAGGAACTTGTTGTTTGCCCTGTCACAGGGAAAGGTAGTCTGTGGTCTAAGGATATGATAGAAGAACTTGTAATACGATAATATGAGGTTTGCCAACAAAAAGGAGAGATGTGGTAGTACAGAAAAATCAAACCATGTACTTACACAGTTTAACCACTGAACAACTTGATAGCCTCAAATTATCTGCATTTTAAGACCATATAAACACACACAAAAATAACCTCAGCTGCTGTTCAGGCTGGCCCTTGCATTTTGAAACTTGGCCAGTAGTGCTCAGAACTTGCAGTGTTTCTATCCCTGAAGTATTTTCTGCAGTAATAAATCACAAGGAAGTTCCACCACATCCTGTCTAGTTCTACCTTTGCCCAGTACTGAAAGGGTTGCTCAACTCTTCCGGTGTCAATCAAACATATACTTAGTTGCTTATTTAATTGAAATCTGCTGCTCCTTGATAAAGACTATGAAAGTAACAACAAAATCACTTCAGAAACTGTGGATAAAATGGTTTCTGATTCCAAATGCTCTGCCCCTATCCACCAGTGGTATAATTCCTTTGTAGAAGGATACCAAGTCAGTCAGACATGATTTGCCCATAGTGGAGCCATGTTGCCAGTCACCAGTCACCTCTCTGTTTTCCATGTGCCTTAGCACTTTCTAGGAGGATCAGCCCGGGAAGAGAGGTGAAATTGAGTGGCCTGTAGTTTTCTGGGATTCCTACTTTCTCTTTTTAAGAATGGAGTTTATGTTTCAGCTTTTCCTGTCACTGGAACAATGGTTGTGCTCTTGTGATTAGAGGTGGGTATGGCTTTTTTTAAAGCATGTTGAATATGTTTCTGCATCTATAAGTGTATGCAGAAGAGATGTTATCATATCAGAATGTCAACAGTATGAAAGAAGGGAATGAGTACAAATATTGTGAATGTGTTAGAAACTTAATTTTTCATTAACTTTTCAAGTCAGAATTTACCAAGAAGCTCCAAATGCCGATGTTCATAATTTCCAAATTATTTCCTTTGCATTGATTGCAATTTTGTTGTTATTGTCATTTCTTAACAGCTAAATTTATATAATCAACTAATGAAATACAAAACTGTACTCATAGCATTTGATTTTTATATTGTTGGAGAGTAAGCTCTGTACAAAGGCTCATGTCTTTCTGGTTCCCTCCTGAAGTATAAACTGCCTGAAACGAAATGCAGGCTTTAGTCAGGCACATTTCAAGGCTGTGGTTATATACAATCTTAATGTCTATAAGAAACATTTTCTTATAACTTCTAATCAAAATTAATTTGCATCCTTTTACTACGATGATAGTCAGCTTCTAGTTTTAGGTCAGAGGTTGGACTCGATGATCTTGAGGTCTCTTCCAGCCTAGACAATTCTGTGATTCTGTGATTCTGGGCAGCTTCACACATGAAAATGCTGGTAGATTTAATTTATAAATTGACAAAGTTTAAGAAGCAGAAATAAACAGAATTTATATACATATAAATTTTATATATATGTAAATGTAGTTAAGATTCACTTACATGACATTGTCTGGTAATGCATGGAAAGTTTGAGATAAAGCAACATTTATTCTCTTTGGGACATATCCATGTCACAGGAGAATGTACTCAAAATTGGGAACAACATCATGGCCATAAAGTGTAGATTTTCATTGCTGTGTTGTCAATGATCTTAGCTTTTACATTCGTACAAAAATAATCTTCAATTGTGGTGAATAAAAGCAGGAGGCTTTTCTTTCCTTACAGGTCCTTGAATGGTGGTTCTGAAGTGGGATTGTCATTTAGGGTGAGATTAGCCCATGGGGAAAAGGATTATTCCTCTCTTGTTGGTGGATAGAAGGGAAAAAATGCTTCTGTTTAATATGATGGGACTACTGGGAATTAAGGAAATTCAGCTTGTTCTGCTACATATGGATATCTCCTTAGGTACAATGTTCTCATCTTCTTCTCAATCACATTATCAATCTCAATGCAATTTTAGAAGTATGTTGTCATTTGTATTCAGATGCTATGGTCTAAAACCAAAACATACTTATTACTGAAGTAAAATGAATATTTGTAGACTCTGATACTCTTTTGAAGTTGCATTACTTTCTCATCTGATATGTTTCATAATATTTTGGAAACATTGTTCAGCATGAAGTATTATATATCATGTAGTATCCAACTAATTCTGTGGCATATTATTAAAAAAAATTTATAGTAGCTGTTGAAGATATGGTGGGATATATCCATTCACTATATGGTCTATATAATATACTAAGGAGGGTGTCTTTTTTTTTTTTTTTTTTTTTTTTTAACACATTGCAAATGTTATGAGCACCATTGAGAATTATTGTGCATTCACTTCCATCACTGAAAAGTGCCAAAGTACCTTCACTACTTCATCAGGTTTTCTAAGCCACCCTTCTACTGAAACAATATAGTAAATCAACACAAAGATCTGACTGCCACATGTTCCACAAAGTCAAAAGTTTTGAGACAGCATTTCTACATGTTTGTATGTTTGTTTGTTTGCAAACTTAACCATGTAGTAACTCAGTAGAGAATTCCACCTGGGTAGTCACCACCACAGACAAGAATAAAGATGGTCTCCAGGGAGTATTAGAGCTAATCTGGAATTAGTTTGAAACATTCAGGCATTTGTTCTCACAGAGATTCTATTAATTTTACTTCAAAACGCAGACACCTCAGAACAAGTCCTGCCCAGAGAGCAAAACCAACAGTCTAAATCACAGAACATAAAAAGCAATATTAATTCTTCTTCTGGGAAGAAGGAGAAAACAAACTTAAGCCGAAGTTTCCACACCCTGGTAAAAGGGCACTGAAATCTAAGTCTGATGGATGGATTGATCTAAATAACAGACCCAGGAAGAGAGAATGCAGTATAAATATTAAAAGGAATTTTGATTACAGACGTGCCTTCAGTTTTAGCATGCCCGAAATAGAAGCTGATCTTCAAATTGCAGCCATCTACTAATGGTATATAATAATACAGCACAGCAGTCTTCAATTCTAGTCCAGTTTTCACATGGGAATTGTGACCTGAAGTAAACTTTGTTATGGACTCTTGCAGGAGTCCAGGAAGGAAAATCCTGGTAGTATGGTCATTACTATCAATAAATGTTCCTGATGATTACCCAAATTTTACATATAATACTGGTGGTAGGGGGACTGTTGGACCAGATTATCTTGGAGGTACTTTCCAACATTAATGATTCTATGATTCTATGGTTAAATCACAAAATCATATGATACTTATTATTTAAAAATATGTATTTCAGTTGGACATTAATGACCACATGTGTTATTCTCAAAAGTCATGGTCCTCCAAAGATTCAGATTTATATATTGAGAATAATGCCCTGGAAATATATAGCTCACACCTAAGGATTTTTGGAGCAATCTGAACTATACGGCTTTAACAGGACAGGAGCTAACCAAGCGTGTCCACTGCTTTTTCTGCAGTTCATTTTAAAGTCATGCCATAAGCAATTTCTTCTGTCATGGTGATCCACATTTTCTTTGTAAATCCACTGTGTCTCAGTCAATACACTTATCACAGTTGATTCATCTTCAAGTTTATTATAGTGCTTGCTGCCTTATTTCCACAAACCTCTCATTTTCAAGACTATTTTTCAGTTACCTCCAGCACCTTATCTATTTCTATAAAGTTAAGTTCAATTAACACACATTCTCACATCAAGGTCTTTGAACTCTCAACACCTTTGGCAGTCTTTCTCCTATCAAGGCAGATACTTCCCCAGTGCAGTAATTCTGTGTGCTTCTGTGCGCAGAATGAGATGAGAGGGCAAAGTGCACAACAGAAGGATAATCCAATTGCCAAAATCAAGCATGACATACCTCTAACAGTAGTAATACCCATGCCTATGGGCTGAGCACTGGCACAGGCTGCCCAGAGAGGCTTTGGATCTCCCTCCTTGAAGATCTTCAAAAACTGCCTGGACGTGGTCCTAGGCAACCTGCTCTGGGTTTCCCTGCGTCATCAGAGGGGTTAGACCCAATGACATCCATTCTGTGATTCCATGACAATTTGTCCACTGGTAGTTGGTAGGCCTTCTAGTAATAGAATCTAGTAATGATGGAAATTTACGCATCTCCAGAGGACAGCACTTCAGCTATCTGGTACATTTGCAGACTGAGTAGCGACATATTTACCAAGGAAATTTTTGTTCAAGGACAATGTTCTACACTTTCTGAACACCAAATTTATGCATAAGTTGTGTATTTTTAATTCAGCATGACTGATGTTCAGCTTTTTCATATTTCAGAGACAACTGAGTTCTAATGAAAAGTAACAAGTGATAGCAAATGACATTGAAAAAAAAAAAAAAAACAAACACAAATGTAATCAGAGAGTCTGAATGTGACACTGAAAGCCTCTTATTTATTTTCTTACCTCATTTGATAATGGACAATTTGATTGGCCTGAATGGATACACAAAGTCTGCCCTAATACATGCTGATATATTTTTAACAACATTAATCATATCCTGTCAGTCCTACCATAATGCATTGGCTTTTCAGACTACGGTTGGAGAGCTATAGAGCAATCTTTCAATCAAACCTGGAAAGGGTCTATTGAATCATGGGAATGGCAGCATTATGGATTTTAGGTACTTCAACAACAACGTTTTTAGTTTGTCAGCTTTGATTTATGTCATTTAAAGTTTGCAGTACACAAATATGCAGATTGCCTCAGCACTCAGAAAAGTATCAGATATAATCTTCAAAGTACTGAAAGATTATGCTCTTAAGGATGGAGCAATCCTCAAAGTACAGTGAGTCTTTACATCTGCATTGTCAGACAGATGTTGCAAAATACACATTTTGCCTTATGTGCTGCTTTTGTTGTTCATTTGACTGCTTTATGCACTATACTTCAATGAAAACATGTTTCTGGACAGTCTTGTCTTGGCTATTGTGTGCTGGGCCAGGTGAAATAACTCTTGAAGCAACTGGATATTTTCAGCTGGAAGAATCTCTAATGTGCAGGTTCAGGCCAAGCGGAGAGAAGTGCAGTCCGGAAGCAGCTGAAGAACCAGTCCAGACTCCCTGAGAGGATTAGAGAGGAAGTAAGAAAGTAGGCATTGGGGTGGTGGAAAGAATGAGACCCAGAAAGTCTGTAGCAGCTCAAGATGTCACTGGAAAATGCTGGACTGACATCAAGCATGAAAGACATGTCTGGCCCTGAATAGACAGAGTGGGCAGGGTACAGATTTATTTAATTACCTTGTAAATTTATTCCACTGGGCTGGTCTAGAACTCACTGTAGTTGATGTTTCCTTGTTGTTATGAAATGGAAAGAAGGTGTCAAACATGTTATGGTGAGTATTTTGAAAGGAAAAGGGGCAGGCAGGTCTCTCATAAAGCTCTGGACAGCACAGGATTGTCTCTTAAGAACACGCCAAATTTCCACTTCTGTTTCAAAGACTGTGCAGAGACAAAGAAACTCTATTAGTCATTCATGGCAGAGTCAATATCTGCCTTTCATTTGTATCAGTCTGCAAATTAAAATGATTAGATTGTACATGTAAAATTATTTCAAGATACTGTTAATTCTGAGTCCCTTATCCTGTATATAATCAATACTTTTATAACTACCTCCCATTGAAGCCAAATAAGGAAATAAATAAATAAAACAAAACCAAAGAGAACATAACAAATTTTCCCTCATTAAACATTTCATAAATTAGCCAATGAAAGTTATAGAATCACCATAGAATCACAGAATGGTTTGGGCTGGGAGGGACCTTCAAGACCACC